TTTGCCATCAGATGAGACCAACATGAGCATGAAAGAGAACAACTTGCGTATGGGAGGTCACATCATGTCTATTGGCGGGAATATGCCTGTTCGAGATGACCTCCGCAGCATTTATTTAACAACTCCTTTAAGTTTTGTCAACATTGAACATAGATCACAATTTCTGTCGCTTACAGTAACAATGTGCGGGTAAAATGATCTTTATCAACTTTGTCTTTTTAAATGTGCGCTCCGTTATTTACAAACTTTGGGTAAATCATTGATTTAACTCACTTTTTTATTGCAAGTTTTGCTCACTTCGTTAATTCCAAGTTTTGGGTAATAATGTCGCTGATTACAAATGTTCGGTTAATGTATGAATTTACTCACTTCGTAAAAATCAATGTTCGGGTAATGTATAAAATTAACTTCGTTAAATACAATGTTCGAGTAATGTATGAATTTACTCACTTCGTCTAATACAATGTTCGGGTAATGTATAAATTTACTTACTTCGAAAAAAAACAATGTTCGGGTAATGTATGAAATTACTCACTTCGTTCAATACCATGTTCGGGTAATGTATGAATTTAATCTCTTCATTCAATACTATGTTTGGGTAATGTATAATTTTACTCACTTCGTTCAATACATTGTTCGGGTAATGTATAAATTGACTCACTTCGTTAATTACATTGTTCGGGTTATGTATGAGTATTACTTCTTTTATTATAAAATTATTGGTTTAATGTTTCAGATATTTATTGTAGGCAGCAACATAAAGAAATGCGCTGTGGGATATATATTGTGAAAAAATGTTCGAAACATCCTCCTGCTGGAATAGAACAAGAATTTTTTAAATCAGTGAATATAGCCGGACCCCCTACAACTCAAGATAAATTTATTGTGTCGGACTGTTCAAGTAGTGTCCATCAAAGTATGTCTCTTTTCTTTATAACATCATTCTTTTCTCTCCAAATTTTATTGTTAACAATATCATTAAATAACATAAGATTGATTACTGCATCCTGTTTAAATCTAAATTTGAAAGTTTTTTGTGTATATGCCCTCATTATTGAGTAGTCCACCTCTGAAGTCTAAAAACTAAAATAACTTAAACGTTAGTGCTGAGTAAATAGCTCTTTATCAATTACCAGAAAGTCGTCTAAAATACATCTTTCATAATATACAAATGTATTTGTAGGGAAAGTAAAACATGTTTCATTATATACAAATGTATTTGTAGGGAAAGTAAAACATGTTTCATAATATACAAATGTATTTGTGAGAAAGTAAAACATGTTTCATAATATACAAATGTATTTGTTGGGAAAATAAGATATCTCTCATTATATACAAATTTATTTCTAGGGAAAATAATACATATTAACTCTCTTTAGTTCAGAATTCATACATTTTATGTTATAGACAATAATGAAGGAGGAACAGATACATGTATTAAAGGAACATTTGTACCTCTGACGTCATCAGCCTGCATGAATCCCAATATCAATAACTCAGATATAATGTGCAAGTTAGTATAACAACTTCTTTAATAACTTGACATTTTATTATAAACGTTGTAGTAAATGCTTAAACGGAAATAAATGACTTTTTTTAAAACAAACATGGCTACTGTTTATATGGAAGTATTTTAAATGATAATCATTTTTTGAAAAAAAAAAAGAAACGGATTTTTTATTATCTGAAGCGTATGTAAGCGGCCATTGTGGACCCGCTTACGTCATCCGACTGTAAGGTTATGTCGTGCTTTGTTACACCGCATAAAGCTCTAAACGAATAAAGGTATCCGTTGACACCTAACCACAATTGCAACGAATATATCTCCCACTATAGTGGAGCTAAATTAGTAAAAATGCCTCATTTTCACGAATAAAACTCGCTAAGTATAAGAATACAATTATATATACATGTATATTAATTTTTTTATCAAATGTTTGTATTTTCTCATATAACATAGATCTACATGAGGTAATGTTATTTTAACATCATTCACATTCACCATGGTCGTCATCACCAACATCATAATCATTATCACCAGAAAATCATTATCCTTCTCATCCTCATCCTCACCAACATCATCATCATCATCATCAACATCATCAACATCATCATCATCATCAGCAGCAGCAGCAAAAGCAGAAGCAATACAACATTATAATTATCATCACCACTCCATAATTATTATCATTATGAACAATTTTATTATTATCAGTATATTACCATCGACCATTCGTGTTATAAGACGTCTTGGAGAGCTATATGCGTTACAACGCAACGGATCTCCTGAGTGCTTTATTCGTCAAGATCTAAATATGCGGCGTGACAATGTTTTCTACGACTATGATAACATTTACTCATTTTATATATTTCAGCATAAACGAATTTGGTAAAATATTTGTCTGGGAATATGTTGAACCCAACTGTGGCAGCTTCGTTCTTGCTTAAGAAAATGTGCTTGGTTTTCCCAAAGCTACCCGACAAGTGCAACAACACTGATATTTCCGGTACAGACTTTATTGAAGCGGCACTTAATATCTCCGGAAAAGACTTCAAGAAACATCCATTAGGAATTGTCATATTGTCGTATATATTACTGTTTTATTTGTCTTATTAAGTACAATGATAATTTCAGCTACTTCAGCGACAATGATTGTAATTTTGTTGATTTGTGAATGACATAAGTAACTTCTAATTCAGTGTATGTGTTGTTGTTTTACAGTTAATCAAAAACGGTAATAATTTTACGATTTCATCTTCAATATAGTATATATAGTATATTGTATATACGTGTATACAGTATATATATGCTTTTTTTCTTCTTTGTAAATGTTTTTTATTCTTTATGTTCATGGTTACTCCAGTAAATTATATCTTGACGTTATCTAGCTTCTTTTCATTCATCACCATTAGCCTCCTCCTTCTCCTTTAATCACCATCATCACCATCATCACCACCATCATCATCATCATCAGCAGCAGCAGCAGATCATAATCAAAACATACACCACAAGCAAAGATGTTATTATCATCGCTGCATTGATTGACCATATTTGTAACCTTATCAAGGTCTACAAGTAATACTGTAGTTGGAACAAAAGATAATGCTCTTAAATTCTTTTGAAAACAGTTAATCGGTCCGCTGTTTGTGTTTTAACAGAGACGAAAAACTTGTTCAAATTCAGATCTGTCATCAAACTTTGTTCAACTTTCTTTAAAATAGTGACACTTGTCAGAATTTTACCTTCTCAGTAACTACACTATCTCTTTCGATAAAGTGACGGCTCGAGTTTAAGGAAGACACAAGCAAAACTTTCATTTCTCCGTTTTGAATGTTTCATTCTTTATTTTGTAATTGACCTCAAAATGAATACACTAGGCTGTCATTGGAACAAAACTTTTCTTCTTACAAAGAATGAAATGGTAATTTCCTACCTTGGCCCACGTTAGAGCGTTAAGATTTCACAATAGTTGCCACAGTGAACTGAAAGAACATGTCAAATGAATGACTTAGAATTGCTTCAGTCATACAGTATCCACAATATCTGGTTTGTTCGAGTCACATTACTTGTTTTAAAACTACTCGATCGGTGAGTCTGTCGGTGTCTAAATTTCGTTCAGCATATATAGATATATTTACGCTTCAAACCTAAAATATATAGAATTTATACAGAAATTCATGCTGAGACTTTAAAAAATGTCATTTTAGCGTGATTTGAGTAAAAATGATCTTTTTAATATTTTATAATTAATTTGCTTTAGTATCCCTTTAAGGAAAAATGTTATCAAGAACATAAGCAAATCAACGGTTACTTAATATTACAAAAGGTGACAAATATACCAGAACACAAGCAAGTGTGTACATAAGAAAGGAGTGTTTTTATTTTATTATTTCTTTACAACACAAGCAGGTTAACTACAAAAGGTGACAGTTATACCAGAACACAAGCAAGTCAACTACAAAAGGTGACAAATATACCAGAACACAAGCAAGTCAATTACAGAAGATGACAGTTATACCAGAACACAAGCAAGTCAACTACAAAAGGTGACAGACATACCAGAACACAAACAAGCCAACTACAAAAGGTAACAGTTATACCAGAACACAAGCAAGCCAACTACAAAAGGTGACAGTTATACCAGAACACAAGCAAGTCAACTACAAAAGGTGACAGTTATACCAGAACACAAGCAAGTCAACTACAAAAGGTGACAGTTATACCAGAACACAATTAAGTCAACTACAAAAGGTGACAGATATACCAGAACACAAACAAGTTAACTACAAAAGGTGACAGATATACCAGAACACAAGCAAGTCAACTACAAAAGGTGACAGATATACCATAACACAAGCAAGTCAACTACAGAAGGTGACAGATAATACCAGAACACAAACAAGTCAACTAAAAAGGCGACAGATATACCAGAACACAAGCTAGTCAACTTCAAAGGCGACAGATATACCAGAACACAAGCTAGTCAACTAAAAAGGCGACAGATATACCAGAACACAAGCTAGTCAACTTTAAAGGCGACAAATATACCAGAAGAACACAAGCAAGTCAACTTAAAAGGCGACAGATATACCAGAACACAAGCTAGTCAACTTTAAAGGCGACAGATATACCAGAACACAAGCAAGTCAATGATAAACTCAAGACTTCATATAAGGTACAACATCATTAATTTTATTTTAACCAAGAGCAGGTTGGGAAAACAGTAAATCAGGAGAGAGTTTCATATAAGCTCCAGTCTTTCTACTCAATCCTGAATGCAATTTATATATTGTTATTTGTCTGTAAATTTTGATGAAGAAATAAATATTGTTAAAACCAAAGGACAATCTTCATTTTTTATGTCTATAAATTTTGTCACATTCTAACATTATATTTGTGTTAACAAAATGTTTTTTTTTTCTGTTTGCATCTACATGACCTTATTTCGTTTCGGTCGTTGGCCAATGACATGCCTTTACATTCATGTCACGCTCTATAGATTATACTACTCACAATTTTTAGTAAGGCGCGAAAGAAGCTAGAGATCTGAAAAAACAAAATGGATTTTTCACTTAAAAACTCGTTGATTACAGTAATATGTCTTGCAGGTAAGATTATTTGCTCATTTTCTGTCCATTTTTCTTTAAACCTGATTACAAAATCAGTTAAATGTTCTTTGTCGGTAAGTTTAAATGTTTTGTCGACTATAACATATAAAACGATCATGTGCCTGCGGCATTAGTTAATTAATGGGAATAATTAATGAGTTAAATATATGTAAGTAAAAACTGCAAAGAATGTTATTACACACGTTACATTAAATATTTCCATCCGACAAATATGAATCAGATTCTAATAGTCATGTCGCATAAAGCAAGTTCAAAGTACGTTCTAAAATATATGGCCTCACTGACTCAATCTGAGCGAAAATTGAGTATCGCAGTTAATTTTTACCGTATATGTAAGAACTTCATGAAAAGACAAGAACGTGTTTGATCGTGATTGTGCTCTAGAACTTTTGGCCTGCTCTAAATGTTTGGTTGGCCATCCCGTTCTCCAATTTGACGGAGTTGCAACGTTCTTAAAACGTGATGAACGTATAACGGACGCAGTTACCGTAATCAGATCGTACTGGAGACGCGCACTAACGTGATAAGATCAGGCGACGATTGGCTGTTAGAGCTTACATCAGCTCGTTCATACCTTTAACAAACAGACGTAACTTTTTCTTAGTACGTTGTAATTCTGTCTAAATAAAATAAATCAAAATCAAATTTTCTGTACAAGTTTGAAACACGTTTCTATCCAGTTCTAACCGCTTAAAATAAGTTATCAGTACGCACAACTCGAGCACTACAATCTATCATCTCATTAAAGTACATACCGCGTACAAACGATACATTTTCTTACAACATTATTATTTTCTTATGGAATAATATTACGTTAAGTATAAAATCAAGCACCTCACTACAGTTCTTCAAACGCATTCTATTTGAAAATTCAAACTACATTTATATACTATGTGCGTTATCATACACACATCTCATATCCTCTCTATAACACTTAGAGACACTTTCCCGATTCTTCAGTACAAATAGGTTATTTGTGGACGGATTATGTTCTTAATATTATTTGGACCATACAAAATTCAACATATCATATTTACTACTTAGATTAATTATATTTACAATTCATTGATAAGAAAATAGAAAACAAAAGCAAAACAAATAGGCTATTGTAAAATGAAAAATCACAGAATGACTTAAAATTCTAACAAAATGAACAGTCTTTGAATCCCACTAAATCTGTATGTTAACCAGTTCTAACACTGAATGTCCTCCCAATTGACTATAACAACGTAAACACCTCTGCCTCATAGTTCTCTATTCCTAAACATGAGCTTGCTCGAGTTCCAGCCAATTGCGAGGGGCTTCTTGTCGCTTTCTCACGAGTCTGTTCAATTCAACCGACAAGTGTGATGTATAGATCTGGTGACTTTGAGTGCAGGAGCTGCTGGAACTTATTGAGTAATGGAGAATATTCCCCAAGTATTTATGATATGTTGAATTTTTTATGGTCCAAAGTTGGAAACAATTCGTCTACACATAATCAATTTATACCGAAAAATGTAAGTGTCGGGATATAAGTGCCTCTGAGTGTAATGCACACTAAAGTAATAAAATTAAAAGAGAATAATTAAAATACATGATGATTAGGTAAATCAGTTATTGCTTCCTTATTCATGCTGTCTTTCTTGATTAAAATAAAGTTCGATTTCTATAATAATGAATCTAATATTACGTGCCTTTTCGTTTGACATATTTTAAGCGTTTTTTTTTTCGTTTATACGAAGTTTGAAGTTTTTCTTAAACACATGTAACTGAATGTTACAACATTAAATACTAACATGTCAACGACTCCTCTTAAAAATAATTTATTTGTTTAATTATACCACTTGATAATCACGTGTTTCCATATATACTTGCTTGTGATTGTTTGTACTGTTGTAGTTATCTTAGTCTTTTTTGTAATTTATTTCTCTTGTATTATTATTTTGGTACATAATTTTTTCTTTCAAAGGCCATGAAAATAAGATGTGTTTAAGTTTAGCATTCAAACATTGCTCACTTAAATGTTACCTTTTTGAAATGAAAATGTTTTTATATCCCTTTTTTTCTTGGTTGATCATTGTGACAACTTTTTGGGGTTATTTTTGGATTAAATATAAACATTTTAACAGTTTCTGTATAGGTAGCAGTCACTCCCTACCTTACCTACATGGCATATTTACATGACACATATTTTCAAGACACATATTAACATAACACATATGTACAGGACACATATTTACATGGCACATATGTACAGGACACATATTTACATGGCACATATGTACAGGACACATATTTACATGGCACATATGTACAGGACACATATTTACATGGCACATATGTACAGGTCACATATTTACATGGCACATATGTACAGGACACATATTTACATGGCACATATGTACAGGTCACATATTTACATGGCACATATGTACAGGCACATATTTACATGGCACATATGTACAGGACACATATTTACATGGCACATATGTACAGGCACATATTTACATGGCACATATGTACAGGACACATATCTACATGGCACATATGTACAGGACACATATTTACATGGCACATATGTGTACAGAACACATATTTACTTTGATGTCTTATCTAATAACTAAAAGCTTTTCGGTGGTTTTGATTTATTGCCTTGAATAATTTTAAACATATCTCATAATTGAAAGATTTGCTGTGGTTTTGACTTATTTTCTTGAATCGTTTTTAAACATGCCTTTGTAATGAGTCATCTAGTTGATTTAATTTTATATGAACTAAAGAGACCCTTATTTGGTTTTACAAAAAAAAACAACAAAGGAAACTCCTATGTTAGGATTAGGACGGTTTACTTAATAGACAAATGCTGCATTTCTGGTTATTGTTTTTTTTTAAATCGTTTTTTAAATAATTTTTTACCTTCACACATTCAAATTTCTGTACAAAGACTAAATAAAAATGTAGTTCAAGTATATATGAACTGGATAATGTTTTAAGATGACTGATTCATTGTAAATATTAGTTTTTATTCGTTAAATGATAAAAACGCTCCAAAAATGAATAATATCGTATATACATGATATAAGTAAATGACATTTCCCCGTGAAAGTATATTTTTGCAGGTTTTTAACCTTTCTGTACATGAATCATATACTTGTGTTTCGGACCACAAACAAAAATATCACACCCATTGTTTTAAAACTATGTATTCTCCTTTGTTATAAAAACAACTAAAGTGCTCATTTATCAAAAACTATATTGTTTGCAACACAGTTAATCTAACGTCCTATATAAGTGGGAAAGATTTACGCACTAATTGCATTTATTAGAGCGACGCGTTGTCTAAATATCTCAACGGAATAAAAACAACGTTTTTTTGTATGTTATGTAGCTATATACGTCAATCAAATGTCATAGGTAAATCGCACATACTTTTCATTGCGTACATTAGAAAGGAGTGCTTTTATTTTATTATTTCTTTAAAACTAATAGACACATAAATTTTGCAAGGTGAAGTTTTACATGAAATAAATAAAATGAATATGGTAACACGATGATGTGAGCTTTACAACACAATAATGTGAGCTTAACAACACAATAATGTGAGCTTTACAACACAATAATATGAGCTTTACAACACAATAATGAGAGCTTTACAACACAACAATGTGAGCTTTACAACACAATGATAGGACCTACAATACTGAGGCCTTTACATAACCTTCACAATTTACATGCAATTCATTAAAAAAACGAGGCTAAATCCCGGTACCATTAAGTTTACAACTGACGAGCATACAGTGGCCAAATGATTGCAATGCCAACAATAATATACTTCATTGGTTACAAAGTGAAACGAAGTTGTAACATATTTATTACTAAGTTTAATCTCGAGTTAGTTTTCTTTGTGACCTTGAACATAAAATTGTAAGGTAACCACTCATACGTTCGTTTGTTTTTGGGTTAAAGTCACACCGGCACTTTTAAGGTCATATTGCGACTTTCCAGTTTTACTTGTTAACAGAGACCTTGTGTGCCCCTTCGTGCAATTATTCGTAAGCAAAGCCACTTAGTTCCATAAGCTAGCTGAATAACTTCCTCTAGTGAATCCAAATGGTTACACTTATGATTGACCTACACACAGACTATTAAACACTAATTGTTATGAAGATTGCTTTTAATTAACCGGTAACCAATGCTCTATGCTTGCAAAACGAGGATCGTGTTTTCATGTTGTGGTTTATACTTTCAAAAGGAATGTCACATTTATGAGCTCTGCACTTGCAAAAATGTCAGTTTTCGTGCCTCATCACAAATGAAAAGACCAATATGTACAAGGCCAATATGAGCAAGTTATTTGGAAATTTTAATCAAAACTACCAGATTTCAAACAAGAGGACTATAAAGTTTTCTGACATATAATACAATATGTAAGGCAAGCTTAATCATCAAAGTTTAATTTAGCACCTCAAACTCCCCATTTAAAGATTCAAATTACCATTTTAGTTGTATTTCTCCAGTATATAATAAATTTTTCCGAATGTTTTCCACGAACATTTACAGTGACAGTTATCATAAGAACTCCATCCTTTATGTAACAGTTTCTCCCCCCCCCCGTGAGTTTTTTGTTAGGAAACACGAAATTTACGTGATTTCAAAAGTGTTCTTACTTTTTAAATGAAATATTCTCACGCAATAACCGGCATGCCGCTCATACATATATGTCTGTGTTTAGATTATTTCCCTTTGATTTGTTTTTACAGTACTGGTGCAGTTTGTGAGAGGCGGGTGCCGAGAACAAATAATGCAAGACGCAAATGCTTTACAATGTTTCATGAACATAGGAACATACATGACTGAGGCCGGAACTGGCGGTCCAAATATAAGTAGTGTTGACGGCATAGCGCAGTTAATATGCAGGTAGGTTTCATTAGTCTCCTACCGGTTTAACCGGAGGGAACTTTAGGTTTACCCTCCGTCTGTCTGTCCGGGCGAACATTCTATGGTCTATGAGCTTCATTCCGTCCATAATTTTGGTTAGAAAAAGAAGGAAATCCCATAAACCGACTGTTTTATGTGGTAATTTAACTGGTTTATGGGAAAAAATGCCACATAAAGATCAAAGAAAAAGCACATAAACCCCAATTGTTGGCACGTCCGTCCGTCCGTCCGACTGTCTGTCAGTCCGTCAGTCCGTCCGTTCGCAAAACTGGATCCCGAGATTACGCAAAATGTACTAAAAATATGTTTATGAAACTTGATATATGGATAGATGGCAGTATGGAGATTATGCACGTCTTTTTCTTTTGTTCCTATGTTGAAAATTCTGGTTGCTATGGCAACAAATAGCCTGAATTGTAAGATTTCTGATTTAAAATTTTCAGCTTTTTCACTATAAGTTCTTTATTTCTTAAGGTGTTTACTTCAAACTTTAAATATAAGTTTCTGGACATCAACCACATCATATGTGACAAGGTTTACAACTCTAGCACAAAAATTATCAGTATTACCTCCCTTGAACTTAGAGTTTTTATGAAAAAAAAATGTTGTCTTTTTTAAATAACTTCTTTATTTCCTAATGTATTTACTTCAAACTTCATATATATGTTTCTTATTTTCACTCAACATTTTTGAGAAGGTTAAATACTCTAGCAAGACTATTTCCAGAATTATGTCCCCCTTGAACTTAGAATTTTTTTCGATTTTACTCCATTGATATATTCTATTTAGACGCATGTCGATTTTTAAATCTAACCCCTACCTTTAAAAACAAACACACACAAAACGGACATAAATACATTGTATTTCAAGACGCATGGCGAAACATTCTATTTTGTAAGCGAACATTGATACATTCTTTTCTTAAACGGACATTGATACATGTACATTCTGTATTCAAAAGAAACGTTCCTCTTCAATTCTAGTCCTAAAGGGAAGGAAGCCTTTGGTTGTGTTTTAAAATACGTGAAGCAATGTCCGGAATTTTTGACATCTGCTGGGGCTACCGGAAATCCTTTGGGCGTTTTGGGAGAGATACCCGGGTTTGATGTACAGTCGTTTCTCAGTGATGGATTCGATGGCTTCTGTTCGATGATATCTGGTAAGTATCAATGATACTTAACATTTAACATTATATGTAAAATCCTGGTCCTTATTTCTTAATTGTAAAGTATTTTGTTTATAATGGTTTACGGCATATTTCCCACAGTTAAATTGTTAATGAGGCATTGTAAGTTGTTCACCTTTGACCCAAGTATAAAGCTAGATTAGCATGTCTTTATACTGTTGGCAGATCATTTTTATACTATATTGATATTGAAATCCCTTAATTTTGAATGGACTGATGGCAAATCCATTATACAATTTCAGCATTACACAATGTAAGCATTATACAATGTCAGCATTACACAGGGTCAGCATTACACAATGTCAGTATTACACAATGTCAGCATTACACACAGCATTACACAATGTCAGCATTACACAATGTCAGCATTACACAATGTCAGCATTGCACAATGTCAGTATTACACAATGTCAGCATTACACAATGTCAGCATTACACAATGGTCAGCATTACACAATATCAGTATTACACAATGTCAGCATTATACAATGCCAACATTATACAATTTCCGCATTACCTAATGTCAGCATTACAAAATGTCAGTATTACGCACTATCAACATTACACAATGACAGTATTACAAAATGTCAGTTTTACGAAATGTCAGTATTACAAAATGTTAGTATTACACAATGTCAGCAATACACAATGTCAGCATTAGTATTACAAAATGTTAGTATTACACAATGTCAGCAATACACAATGTCAGCATTACAAAATGTCAGTATTACACAATATCAGCATTAAATAATGTCAGTATTACACAGGGTCAGCATTACACAATGTCAGTATTACATAATGCCAGCATTACACAATGTCAGTATTACACAATGTCAACATTTCACAACGTCAGCATTACACAATGTCAGCATTACACAATATCAACATTACACATGGGCAGCGTTACACAATATCAGTATTACACAATGTCAGCATTACACAGGATCAGTATTGCACAATGTCAGTATTACACAATGTCAGCATTACACAATATCAGCATTACACAATGTCAGCATTACACAATATCAGTGTTACACAGTGTCAGTATTACACATTATTTGCAGGTTAAGGGTGAATATCTAAAAAATGGACTGTTTCAAATTAAAACATGGCAAATCCATTATACAATGTCAGCATTATACAATTTCAGCATTACACAATGTAAGCATTATACAATGCCAACATTATACAATTTCCGCATTACCTTATGTCAGCATTACACAATGTCAGCATTACACAATGTCAGTATTACACATGGTCAGCATTACACAATATTATTATTACACAATGTTAGCATTTACACAGGATCAGTATTACACAATGTCAGTATTTGACAATGTCAGCATTACACAATGTCAGCATTACACAGGGTCAGCATTACACAATGTCAGTATTACACAATGTCAGCATTACACAGGGTCAGTATTACAAGATGTCAGTATTACACAGGGTCAGCATTACACAATGTAAGCATTACACAATGTCAGTATTATACAATATCAGCATTACACAATGTCATCATTACACAATGTCAGTATTACACAATGTCAGTATTTCACAGTGTCAGTATTACACAATATTAGCAGGTTAAGGGTGAATATCTCATATTATTGATACACATTAGCATGTTATGTTTGGTCTGTTTTAAATCAACATGAATTGCTTTTGTTTTCAGGGCCATGCAGCGCTGTATCAAAATGTTTTGCAGCACCTCAGACCGGAAATACTAGAGGGATTGTAAAACGAGGTGTTCCAAATTCAAATAACTATTACCTGACTTTCCAGGAAAGCGCCGTATTGGCATGCGGGTAAGTTGCTTGAATTAAAAAATTCAAAATAAACACAAATCTTTAAAATCCGTATATGTTTTGTTTTTAGTTGTTTATGTCAATTTTAACACAATTCTTATTCAGGCTTGGACTAAACACTGTCTTAACTAAACCCTTTAGTTATTTTCTTGTTTTTTTTTTCAAAGTATGACTGCTGAATGTAAACATGACATAATTTAAACAACTGTTGACTTTAATCTTCCTGAAACTAGCATTCTGAGGTACTAATAAATGTAATGTTCTCTTATTAATATTGGACTTATACAAGATGTTGAAGTGAAAAACTTTAATAAAACCTTCACACATAAATGACAAAAATAACAACATTACATCAAATATTACTCAGTCTGCCTTTCTGAATATGTTGTGAATACTTGTCATCATTCAACAATCATTTTCAGCTCTATGAGAGAGCAGATGACGTGTATGTTAAATGCTTTGGAAGCATGTCCGAAATCATATGTAGATAAAGCACAGGAACAGATTGAGAACGCTCTGAAGGCGAGTATGTCGAGCCCATATGGCGCGGTCACATTCGAAGATGCAAAAGGTTTTATCATGAACGAATGTCCCAAAATGCCAAAAGGTACCATTTTCATATATGCTTTAGTTTCTTCTCAAAGTAAATATTCATTGAACATTACAATAACCTTAAGGTGAAATTGTCCACTTTCCAGCAAAAGTGTTTTTAAATTTTACACTCGAAACAAAAAAAAATGTATGAATTACACGTATTGCAAAATGTATTAGATAATACATTGCTGGAATAAAATAAGCATATAAACATTTTTTTTGCCTTTTCGGGAAAAGTATCCTTTATATTGGTCATGACTGAAAGAATTTTTTCTTACATGTTTATTTCATTATCAGATTTTTCAGCAGACACATGTGTAAAGGATGTATTCGTTTCCAAAGAATTTGTGGATTGTAACGGAGAAGCTGCTGCAAAATACGCCGAGACCAGAACATGCAAGTAAGTTCTATCTTAATTTTGATCATTACTAAATACTGATTATGTTAAATGTTCTCATTGTTTGTTGTCATGTCAAAATACGCCGAGACCAGAACTGCATTATGCAAGTAAGTTCTATCTTAATTTTGATTATTACTTAATACTGATTATGTTTAATATTATCATTGTTTGTTGTCATGTCAAAATACGCCGAGACCAGAAGATGCAAGTAAGTTATGTCATAATACGCCGAGACCAGAACATGCAAGTAAGTTCTTTCTTAATTTTGGTCATTACTCAATACTGATTATGTTAAAATGTTATCATTGTTTGTTGTCATGTCAAAATACGCCGAGACCAGAACATGCAAGTAAGTTCTATCTTAATACGCCGAGACCAGAACATGCAAGTAAGTTATTTCTTAATTTTGATCATTACTCAATATTGATTATGTTAAAATGTTATCATTGTTTGTTGTCATGTCAAAATACGCCGAGAACAGAACATGCAAGTAAGTTATATCTTAATACGCCGACACCAGAACATGCAAGTAAGTTCTGTCTTAATACGCCGAGACCAGAACATGCAAGTAAGTTCTGTCTTAATACGTCGAGACCAGAACATGCAAGTAAGTTCTATCTTAATTTTGATCATTACTCAATACTGATTATGTTAATATGCTATCATTGTTTTTTGTAATTTCGAAATACGCCGAGACCAGAACATGCAAGTAAGTTCTATCTTAATACGCTGAGACCAGAACATGCAAGTAAGTTTCTGTCTTAATACGCCGAGACCAGAACATGCAAGTAAGTTCTATCTTAATACGTTGAGACCAGAACATGCAAGTAAGTTCTATCTTAATTTTGATCATTACTTAATACTGATCATGTTAAAATTTTATCATTGTTTGTTGTCATGTTGTTATTTAATCTGCCTCTAACATTAGTTACATTGGTTTGAGCATCATAAAGACCCTTGTTTTCTCACGTAGTACAGTAAGATTCTAACTTGTTTTTATTACATGTAAATAATATAATTTTCAACAAGTATGTATTTTTAAATGTTAAAACTACCAAAGAATACATATGATGTTATATCGTTTACTTGATTTTGACAGATTGCGCATGTTTTACAGATATCTGTATTTCATTTTGCTTATTATATACATGTATATCATCAGAGACATTTGTATACTCTTTCTAAAATATTTTGATAAGTACATGTAATAAGCCAGGGAATGATAATGAATACGAGTTCTGTATTTCGCTTTCTTTCCAATACGGTGATTAAAACAAGTGACAGAATGATCTTAACCAATGACATGATACAATACAAACCAGTGTCATGATAAGGAATACATATTGAGTAATTCGACTGCGTTCCTGCGCTATAATGATATTCTTAACCATTGACATAATATTCTTAATCAGTGACATGATAATCAAAACCAGTGGCATGATAATTTTAACCAGTGACATGATAGTATTAACTAGTGACATGATAAAACAAGCCAGTGACATGATAATTGTTACCAGTGACATGATAAAATTAACCAGTGACATGATGAAATTAACCAGTGACATAATAATCTGAACTAATGGCATGATAATCAAAACCAATGACATGATAATACAAACCAGTGACATGATAATCTAAACCAGTGACATGATAATCTGAACAAATGACATGATAATCAAAGCCAATGACATGATTATAAGTTTATAGTACTGTTTTATACAATTATATCCATTTTTAGGGTATATGATCTCAGTAAAGACTGCGTCACTGCAACAGTGCAACCGAAATGTGGAAAAGAAATGGCGGATTTTTTGGTTCGCAACACACACATGATATTTCCCGGAATCCCAGATAATTTGCGGAAATAAAAGGAAACTCAGGAAGCGTGATTTCGACGTCATTCGGACTACTACTGTTTATATCGTCTCTGTTTTACATATTGTAACAATTTAAAAAAAAAACAACCAAACAACAAAAACATCGTAACAAAATTGTAAATATTTACTCATAGAATGTTAACGACCACAAGATGTCATACGAGGGATGATAAAAAATTAACCGGACTTTGTAGATGATTCTTCGGAATCTATCCCCTAAATGATACAAAAAATAACAACAAGAAATATTAACAAATAAAAAAGTTATGCTGTTTTTTCCATGTACATGTAAAGCAATGCGGCGCACGTTTTCACTTTAAAATCGACGTTAACGACGTCACAAGCATATTGTCTTTTGCGGCGCAGCTTTTTACTCATTCTCGAAGAAGGCCAATACATGCTTCACATGTTGTTGATAGCGGCAGATCCACTGCCTTTATATATCTCTTTATAAGTCGGTATCATATTGTATTGATGTTAAAGAGCTCCTGTAATGACAAGAAAATCCGTTCTTTCATTCTGTAACTTGATTGCTGGACAGATCGCACATTCAATGAACTATATTATGTATTGCATTTATTTCATGTGGCTGAATGATAATGTATCATACATACGATAAAATTAAAGAATAATACAACTAAAAACAATATTGTCGTTATTTTTAAATAAATAAAACGCATGGCCGATTTAGAACCGTGACTGCTAAATTGTTGGCACATTTTCTCGATAAGACTACAATGAAAAATAATAGAATTATTAATTCAACTGTAAACTAAGAATGTTATATATGTAATTAATGCATTAACATTTAAAAAAAATATCCTAAGTTAGAGTTGACATAACCGTCCCGTAACTACCCTCGAACATCGTTGACAATGTCCGCAGTCAATTAACTGTCATTTTTCAACGTCCCGGCAAATGACGTGACTAACGTTCTTGAAAATTTCTTCTTTCTGTCTCACCCTTACTTGTTTTCCATTTCTACATTACCCTTTCTTATTGTTAATGCTATTCAAAAACTATGTTGTGGCTTTCTGCAACTTTTCCCTTGATAGCTATAATCTTTTTCTATGTTAAAAACAGTTTCTCGCCTTACTTTTGACAAACTGTTCTTATTGACCGATTTTCGAAACGTTCCGACGACGTAGTTTTAGTTAACAAGTGACGTTTGAATTGTGATTGCAAATATAAATATGGTTTAAATGAAATCATTTTTCTGACAACTTCAAGGATATAGCTCATGAAGTTTTTGCGTATTTTTGAAATCTAAATGTGATAAATTGTAAAATATACGCATCATAAAGCGCCCGATGTAAGCGTAAATTTATGCACTGCGCCGGATGTGCGTTACCATGGTTTTTAAATACGCTGTTACGGACAAGCTATTTGCGTTATCATATTAGATATAGCATCAGTTTCGAGTATTGTTTTCCGATTAAGTGTGATATATCACAATAAATGATAGGTTGAAAATTCTTGAATTGACAGTCCAAGTCCAGTTTATTTTTGATCTTCCCTCGTATATAGGACACTAGTATAAAACCGTCGGACCAGCCTGAAAATTCAGACAGTCGGAACAGTACCTTTGTTGTCGGCTTCTCGGCGGCTTAATTCTAACAATTTTATATTAAAATTTCTACATTTATAATTTACAAAATTCAGTGGAGTAAATGTATGACTTGATGTTGTGACATAAGTAAATGAAGACCTGAAACTACTTCCAGTAGAATTCTTCTGTTCATTAGCTACGGTATTATAGCATATATACGTTACTTTTTTATCACTAATTAACAGAACTATTGTACTGTATGTTTTCTATATTGTTGCAGTGCACCTTAGCTTAATTATGAAAAGTATTGTTAACACAGTCATGTTTAATATATGTTTTCCTGATTAATGTAATATAAAAACGGTCAAAATACTGTAAACAAAGTATCAAAAAACTGTAAACAAAGTACCAAAATGCTGTAAACAAAGCTGCACAGGGGTATTTAAAACCATGACTTTATATTACACTGATATACATGACTAGTTTCTAGTACAGAGTAGATGTTTTGTAATTCACAGATTATTATATTGATGTTACGTCATTTAGCTTCATATTCAGCATTTTATTATAAAGTGTTATACTAATACAGCGCTGGTTTTGTTTTATATAATATTGGTCGTAACAAGTCCCCTTTTCTTTTAAGAACGAATACATTTTCTTCTGTATACAGAATGGACAAGTTTTATAACGTTTTAAGAAATAGAAAGAGCATCGAAGAACGAGGCTATCTGATTTGTACGAGGGGCTTCCATGTCGTTATAATATGAAACCCCAGAACAAGTAACCATTGTACGAGCATCTTAATATGACTTTTCTATAAGTTATAAGTAAACACCAGAAAAAGTTTAGCCAATCAACGAGCATGCTCTATATTAGCCCTGTCTGACTACAGTTAACGCACTGTGCATGTATGGCTCTTACTTATTTTAAACAGAAAGGTTTCCAAACTATGATACAATAATTATTTTGAAGCATGTTAGACACTTATCACCTGAAGAAAGCAGAGTGAAATGTGAAAGTATTTGTCATAGAAGTAACATCATATGAACGAAGTAGTAATTTGTCTTCCATAAAAAAATACTATATCACTATAACTGTACTAATTGCAAATAAGCAACATTAGCAAAGAATGGTTCAGGTAAATGACAAATGAATTACTTTTTGGAAACTATGACCGAACAAAAAAAAGCTTTTGATGAATATAAATTAAAGCATTTCTAGGACTTAATTTTTGATTCTTCAAAACTTGTGTCGTTGGTTAGAATTGGATATACAAAGGCAAAGCGGCCAATTAGAGTGACCAATTATGTCTCAGGACAAGGGCGACCAATTATGTCGTGGACAAGGGCGACCAATTATACAAGTGATAAGGGGGACCAATTATGTCTCAGGACAAGGGCGACCAATTATGCCTTTTGACAAGGACAATCAACTATGTCGTGGACAACGGCTACCAATTATGTCGTGGATTAGGGCGTCGATTGATAATCGGATAATTATCAAAAGTAATCGAAAATTGTCGAGAGTTAATTGAAAAAAAAGATGAGTTAAGCCCTAACAATGACTGTTTGTGGCAGCAAAATGCGCTTTAAAGTACCCCTGTCCCCTAGCTGTTGAAAGCATAATAATTTGTATAACACAAAAAATACAGGCTGGTAAATGAATTTGATTGGTAATTGGTAAGTCAGCATCGTTTTTACTTGTCGCCCAGACTGGTACTTGATTTTGTGATGCTGCTTTAGTTATATACTGAAATTCTGAAAGTCAGACAATTTCATTCATTCATTGATGCATTCATTCATTCATTCATTCATTCATTCATTCATTCATTCAATCATTCATTCAATCATTATTCATTCAATCATTCATTCAATCATTAATTAATTCATTCATTCATCATCATCATCATCATCATCATCATCAGATGTATTAAAGTAAAATGACCCCCAATATGTCCTGGATCATTATTCTATATAACAATTCAATTCAACTTCATGTATAAAATATTGCCACCTGTAATAGTAACATATAAAATATAATCCTTGGTCAATATTATCAAGAATCACTTCAAACATGATGATGATGATGATGATGATGATAATGATAATGATAATGATAATGATGATGATGATGAGGAGGAGGATGATGATGATGAGGATAAGGATGATGAATGGAAAGAACTTAGATAACGTCTAGTAATAATTAATTGGACTTTTATAATAATCATAAAAAATACAAAATACTATGTTATTATGACATTATCACGGCTCAAATGTCCAACCCCTTCCGCTAAAATAACGGTCAGAGTTATAATGAACATTCACTCGGAAAATAACATAACTTACACCGGCTTTCCAAGAGTGTCTCCAAGAACACCAGCAAATCAACGATTACCTAACGGTACAAAAGGTGACAGGCTTACCAGAACACTTGAAAGTCAATGATAACCTTACACTACAAAAAGGTGAAATATGTATCAGAACACACGCAAGTCAATGATAACCTTACACTACATAAAGGTGACATATATACCAAAACACGCAAGTCAATGATAACCTTATACTACAAAAAGGTGACATATATATCAGAAAACAAGCAAGTCAATGATAACCTTACACTACAAAAAGTTGACATATATATCAGAACACAAGCAAGTCAATGATAACCTTACACTACAAAAAGGTAACATATATATCAGAACACAAGAAGTCAATGATAACCTTACACTACAAAAAGCTGTCATATATATCAGAACACAAGCAAGTCAATGATAACCTTACACTACAAAAAGGTGTCATATATATCAGAACACACGCAAGTCAATGATTACCTTACACTACAAAAAGATGACAGATATACCAGAACACAAGCAAGTCAACTATAACTATTTTTAATGTCTATAAATTGTGTTACATTTTAACATGTGTACTATACAAAATGTTTCTTTTTCTTTTTGCATCTTCATGTCCTTATTTCGTTTCGGTCGTTGGGCAATGACATGCCGTCACATTCAAGTCAATTCCATGACAATTACTGCGCTATTAAAGTAGCATTTTTTCCACCGCATGATGACGTTATTCCGCAGTTAATCACATTTTCTCTCTGATAAAGCTTTTCGCTTAATCGTATTTTTAGTACCATAAGAAAGATATTTTCAAGTTGACAAATCTAATTTCATCTGTTCAAACGACACTTGATATAATGTCCTTTCAACAGGGAACACTACTTACTTTAAGTAATTAAACAATTATCACATTTATCACAATTATCACACGGTTATTATTTCCTTTCCAATGTCAAGATGTTCTAAGAAGATATTACACCACGTGGGTATCATTGTTTATTTATTTGGGTCGTAAGACCAAACAAATAATGTTAGCGAAATTTCAGACCCTGATATGCTTATTTGCAAAATCCGCAATTAGTCAAGTCACGAACTCCTTGTGTTGTTGTTTTTGGTTTTATTTATACTGGGCGCCGGTTTCCCATATGTCCCAGACTAGTCGGCCTCTATTACGATTGCTGGTAACGTAGAGCCTGCAACGGAGGACTTACTCGCCTGCAACGTCGTCGATGTCGTAGAGCCGCGACGGAGGTCTTTTCAAGCTGTCGATCGTCGTAGACCTTCTCTAGGACCAAATTCCTCGCTTCATGAACAAATAACAATAGAGGAAAGGCACCTCTTCCGGGAGCAGCAGCTCTCTTTAGGGCCACACCCTTCGTCGTTGGTTAGGTCACACCAGCTAAGTGACCTAACTAGGTCACCCATCTGGTGTGACCTATGCCTTCCGAGCGACGTGCACGCCACGAAGGGAAGTCGGAAGACGAACTCCTTGAAGCCGTTCCTTCCCTTTATAAGTACACTAACGCCAGATCACTCCGTAAAGGTTGTCAAATGACAGGCTCATTAATTTCAAAACCTTCTCAGGGAAGAAAAATAGTTCCCGACTGGTCAAAGATTTCTAATATGTAATTCTTTTACATTTCCGCAAATTACCGGTAATATATTCAAATCATTTTGACAATGGAAATTGTTACGAGGATTAACATCATTTTAATCAATGGAAATTGCTCGGCTATTTCCGTAAATCTTCGGATTATTGTGATCGCCTAAATAAACATTTGTTATTTAGACTTTCTGAAAATAAAAGTAAGGATATTGACTCTAGGACAGGTACAAATTTACGCACTCGACGATCGATAAGCAATTTCTACCATATATAAAATTAGAGGGAAGAAATTAACCGAAACAATTTTGTCTTGTTTTATATAATTATTGCTGTTAAACTCCTTTATTGAAATGCCAGTTTTGGACCCAAGTGTCTCTAAGGCACGTTAAATAAGATGGCTTAAGATGGCTTACAATTGATACGGTACTCTCGGTACTCTTGAACAATAAAAATTGGAGCTTCGTTGTTAATAATTTTACGTATTAAGATACATGTATATAGGAGTATATGTCAAGCAAAACGATGATTCAGAACACAAGCAAGTCAACTACAAAAGGTGACAGATATACCAGAACACAAGCATGTCAACTACAAAAGGTGGCAGATATACCAGAACACAAGCAAGTCAACTACAAAAGGTGACAGTTATACCAGAACACAAGCAAGTCAACTACAAAAGGTGGCAGATATACCAGAACACAAGCATGTCAACTACAAAAGGTGGCAGATATACCAGAACACAAGCAAGTCAACTACAAAAGGTGGCACATATACCAGAACACAAGCAAGCCAATTATAAACTCAGGCTACATATAAGGTACAACATCATAAATTTAAATGTTACCAAAAGCCGTCAATAATGAAGTGTTGATTTTTAAACATTTAGAGGAATAACAATAGAAATATTATCATGTACTTAATTATTGTATATCAAAAGGGCAATCTTTTTTTAGTGTCTATCTATATAAATTTGACACATTCTAAAAAGTGTGTTATACAAAATGTTGATTTTTTCTTTTTGCATCTGGCCTTATTTCGTTTCGTTCGTTGGCCAATGACATGCCTTCACATTCATGTCACTCTCTATAGATTATACTACTCATAATTTTAATGTACACTCTGTGTAAGGCGCCAAAGTAGCAAGAAACCTGACAAAATGGAGTTGTCACTGAAAAACTCGTTGATTACAGTAATATGTCTGACAGGTAAGAATGTTAGCTTATTTTCTGTCCATTTGTCTTTAAACCTGTTAAAAAATCAGTTAAATGATCTTTGACGGTAAGTTTAAGTGTTTTGTCGACTATAACATATAACATGATCACGTGCGGCATTAGTTAATTAATGGGAATAATTAATGAATAATATACATGAATGTAAAAACTGCAAAGTATGTAATAACACATGTAACATTGAATATTTCCATCAACTGCTGCAAAGAAATGAAATAAAATTAGTGTTGATATTTTGCAGATGCATTTATAGAGAATTTTAACATAGCGCTATATACTTGTATACAAAACTAAGAACCGACATACATGAATCATAGAGTTTAATACTCCTGTCACACCAAGCAGGTTCCAAGTACGTTCTAAAATATGTGGACTGACGACTTTAAACTGTGCGAAAACGAAAATCTTTACGGTATATTTAAGTATTTCATGGACGAACACGAACGTGTTTGATCTGGAATGTGCTCCAGAACTTTTGGCCTACTCTAAATGTTTGGAGTAGCAACGTTCTTAAAACGTGACGAACGTATTACGAACGCAGTTACCGTGATCAGATCGTACTGGAGACGCGCACTAACGTGATGAGATCAAGCCACGATTGGCAGTAAGAGTTTACACCAGCCCGTTCATCCCTTTAACAAACATACGTAACTTTTTCTTAGTACGTTGTAATTTTGTCTAAATAAAAAAAATCAAAATCAAATTTCTGTACAAGTTTGAAACACGTTTCTATCCAGTTCTAAACGTTTAAAATAAGATATAAGTACGCCAAACTCGTTTCGAAAACTGCGATGTATCATCTCTTAAGATATGGTATTAAAGTACAGACCGCGTACAACCTATGTTATAGAACGATACATTTTCTAACACCATTATGAAAATATGGAATAATATTTCGTTTAGTACAAAATCAAACACCTCACTACAGTTCTTCGAATATAACTACAAACGCATTCTACTTGAAAATTCAAATTAAATCTATATACTCTGTGCGTTATCATGATTTCAGACATGAGATATATAGAGGATATTCAAGTTTTTTTCTATAAATACAGTATTTATTTTCATCGAGTGGTATGAAAATAAATATTTCACGAGTGGCGGTGATTTTCTTATCACAATATAAAAATAAATCCTGTATTGATAGAAAAGAACTTGATTTTCTGTTTATCATATACTTTTTCTCTTTTTTGACCTTACAGTTCTTTACTTTTCGTTTAATTTTGTTTATTGGCTGACTTAAGAAGAAAGTAGTTCGCCAAGATACCAGTGAAAATACTGAAAATATGTTTCACTACAGTAAAAAATGGAATTTTACAGTGAAAATACGGAAAATGAAAGTGAAACCCTCAATTAAGACCACCATCGGGACTGGACCAAAGTGGTCTTAATTGCGGGGTGCTCTTAACTGTGAGTAATCTCATCATTGCTTTCATACTTTATGACCATGCTTTATTTAGACATTTGGTATGAAAAAACAATATGTATCTTAGTTAAACTACAATTAAATATATGTTTTGATATTTAATCAGATGAGAGCAAAAGATTTTTCTGAAGAAATTTAATATTAAATGCTCTTTAGTCTGATTTCAATATTTATTATTATGTAATGTACATCACCTATAATATATTATAAGAAATTAATGCTTTGCAAAATAAATGTGCTGAAAGCAATATTGAACCACAGTAACTCTAAAATTTACTTTCAGACCTTATGTCATACAATAACCTTACAATAACAGTTTATGACAACACCTTGTTAAATCAAGTGTCATGCCAAAGAGCATTCAAGCAGATAATAACCATGGTACAGGTCTCGACACTAACTTTTTCAGCAGGTGGTATAGAAAAAATACATGTTTTCTTCAGTTGTTATAAATCTAATAATAAATATGTCTCTGTCACCAATTTTAAGTGTAGTTCTTCTAAATCTGAAGTTTCCTTAAAAACAAATGAGTAAAAAAAAGATGTACCACCTGTGTTCAGAAAGGACCACCTGAATTTTGGATCCAGTGGTCCGGCATACCACCTGCTGAAAAAGTTAGTGTCGAGACCTGTACCATGGTTATTATCTGCTTGAATGCTCTTTGGCATGACACTTGATTTAACAAGGTGTTGTCATAAACTGTTATTGTAAGGTTATTGTATGACATAAGGTCTGAAAGTAAATTTTAGAGTTACTGTGGTTCAATATTGCTTTCAGCACATTTATTTTGCAAAGCATTAATTTCTTATAATATATTATAGGTGATGTACATTACATAATAATAATCGAATTATATTAATCCAGTGGACCAATAAAAATGTAAATCTAAATCGAAAGAGCCAATCAAGAGGACTTTAACAGATTAACGTTAGGGAAAGAAGCCAAAATGGACGACAATTGAATGGTATAAATTTGACAACTAAATATTTTATCAAAATACGGTCCTATTACACGTACATACACGATATTTCTCCGTGAAAGTATATTTTTGCAGGTTTTTAACCTTTCTTTAAATGAATCATATACTTCCTTTTCGGACCACAAACAAAAATATCACACCCATTTAAAACTCAAGTGCTCATTTATCAAAAACTGTAATGTTTGCAGCACAGTTAATATAACGTCCTATATAAGTGGGATAGATTTACGCACTAATTGCATTTATTAGAGCGACGCGTTGTCTATATATCGCAACGGAATAAAAACAACGTTGGGTTAGCTATGTAGCTATATACGTCAATCAAATGTCATAGGTAAATCGCACATACTTTTCATTGCGTACATTAGAAAGGAGTGTTTTTATTTTATTATTTCTTTAAAATTAATAGACACATAAATTTTGCACGGTGAAGTTTTACATGAAATAAGTGAAATGAATATGGTAACATGGTGATGTGACCTTTGTAACTCGTTAATGTGACCTAAACAATACGATAATGGGACCTTTACAGCTTGATAATGTGATCTTTACAACATATCATACAGCACGATGATCTGACCTTTACAACACATCATACAACACGATGGTCTAACCTTTACAACACATCATACAGCACGATGATGTGACCTTTACAATACATCATACAATACGATGATCTGACCATTTCAACACATCATAAAACACGATGGTCTAACCTTTACTACTCATCATACAAAACGATAATGGGACCATTTCAAAACATCATACTTCACGATAATTGGACCTTTACATCACGATGATGTGACCGTTACAACACAGCTTACAACATGAAAATGGGACCTTTACAACAAATCATACAACACGATAATGGTACCTTTACAACACGATGTTGTGACCTTACAACACGATGATGTGATCTTTACAACACATCATACAATACGATGGTCTGACCTTTACAACACATCATACAATACGATGAGCTGACCATTACAACACATCATACAACACGAAAATAATGGGACTTTTACAACACATCATACAACACGATGATCTGACCTTAACAACACATCATACAATACGATAATTGGACCTTTACAACACGATGACGTGACCTTTACAACACATCATACAACACGATAATCTGACCTTTGCAACACATCATACAACACGATAATGGGACCTTTACAACACGATGATGTGACCTTTACAACACAATAATGTGACCTTTGCAACACATCATACAACACGATAATGGGACCATTACAACACATCAAACACCAAAATGACCTGACCTTTACAACACATCATACAACACGATGATATGACCTTAACAGCACGATGATGTGAGCTTTAAAACACGATGATGGGACCTACAATACTGAGACATTTACATAACCATAACAATTTACATGTAATTCATTAAAAAAACAGGCTAAATCCCGGTACCATTAAGTTAACAACTGACGAGCATACAGTTGACAAATGATTGCAAAGACTTACTGTTATGAAGATTGCTTTTAATTCACCGGTAACCTGCTGTAGTTTTATGGATTTGCAATTCTTTGAATTAAAAAAGTCCATTTGAAGTTTCAGGTGTTTCAATATTCAAATACAAAACTTAGACTACCAACAGTATAAAACCTAGTCAGACTGATACTGTTGACAAATTCTAAACACTTCCGGTTCCAGTAGATTAATAATGGTTAAGAAAGGAAATCAGACTAGTATAGGAGCAAAAATATTTCACTAAGTTTTCAAAGTGTATAAACTTGAAGGCTTCGTGATAGGCCACAGTTTGCGTCTTGTACTTATAAAAGGAGAGACACGTCTTCGTCTTACAAAACAAAGGCTGCATTTTTGTGCTCTATGCTTGCAAAACGAGGATCGGATCGTGTTTTCATGTTGTGGTTTATACTTTTAAAAGGAATGTCACATTTATGAGCTTTGCTCTTACAAAATGGTCCGTTTCCGTGCCTCATCACAAATGAAAAGGCCAATATGTACGAATGAGCAAGTAATTTGGAAATGTTACTCAAACTACCAGATTTTAAACAAGAGGACTATAAAGTTTTCTGACACATAATACAATATGTAGGGCAAGCTTAATCATCAAAGTTTAATTTAACACCTCAGACTCCCCATTCAAAGATAAAAATAACCATTTTTCAGTTGTGTTTCTCCAGTATACAATAATGTTTTCCGACGAAATTCGTAACGTTTTCCAGGAACATCGTGACAGTTATCATAAAAACTCCTGACAAGTTATCATAAGAACTCCATCCTTCGTGTAACAGTTCCTCCCCATGAGTTTTAAGTTACTAGTATGAAACACGAAATTTACGTGATTTCACAAGTTTTCTTACTTTTAAAATATTTAGACGAAACGAAATATTCCCACGCAAAAAATAGCAATAACCGGCATGCCGCTCATACATTTATTTCTGTGTTTAGTTCCCTTTGATTTGTTTTTACAGCACTGGTGCCATTTGTGAGAGGCGGGTGCATAGAACAAATAATGCAAGACGCGAATGCCTCACAATGTTTCAGGATCATAGGTACATACATGACAGA